CTCCACTCCACTAGGTCATATGCCCTCTTACATAAAAGAAAAGAAGCAAGTTCATCACAATAAAATCACCTGAGGTATGGGAGTCACATTCATAACTTTTCTGTTACCTGATTTTTTTTTATTATTATTATTATTTTATTTTTTACACAAGACAAAAGCAGAGTTAATATGTTTCAGTTACTGGGCAAAGTATCTTCTATTCTATTTATTAGTAATATTCTAATATAATAAAATAGTTTGTCTGTCTGTCCGTAACACTCTTGGAGCACTCTGATTAGTTACTGAAAAAAACAATCAGAGTGCTCCAAAAGCGTTAGACAGGAGGTGATGGTGGTGGCGTGCCGCCATGACAGCGGGGATGAAGCGGAGGATATGAGGCCAGCACCGCTGGCCTTGTTCCCCCTCCCCCCGGCCCTACTCCTCAGAGGCAGCAGCAGCATGTGGTGCTGGTAAAAGGGGAAAGAGGAGATGGTGGGGCAAGCTTCCCGCCCTGCCCCCACCCCCTCTCTGGGTGGTGGCGTCGTGGGCGGGTGGGGGTTAGGGTTAAGGTTATCAAGCTCCCCCTCCACCCCCATCCCTGCCCTCCCCATTATTCTTGACAGGCAATTCACTAGTAACATATATGAAACAGCTGAAGAGCAAGACAGATCTATTCAGAGTTTTCTTCTCTCATTAAGAACTGTTGCATCTCTCTATCACATAAGGGTGCACAGACATAGCAACACTCATTTTATACAAATTAATCTAATTTTAGTGCAAATTTCTCTCTAAAACCACAAACTGAAAGAGTCAGAGGACTTTTCTCTTTGAAAGTGTTAAAACTGTAAACAATTTTAAAAACAAATCTTAATAAAGATGTCCTTCTCTCCTGTCTATTCCAAAGACTAGTTATTTAAGGTCAAAATGTGGTTATTTCAATAGTTTTGGTCTCTGTTTATCACTTGCCTATACTATATCTCTCTGGGTATACGCATGCCCTAGTGTGAAAAAGCTGGATGACAAAAACAAATATAGCTAAATCCTCCAAAGTCACCAGTTCTAGAAAGCTTCTGCCCCTAAGAGTTAGTGTTTTCTATATATCAAGAAGAGCCTTTATCAAAGCTTGCTTCATCATATGACCTCTTTCAGTTGTCTGAACTTCACTTTTTGGTCTTGCATTTTTGTCCCCGGCTAAATTGCGTCTGGCCAGAAGATTCAGCATATTTTACTGTATCATCTCTGTTTAGTTTAGCAAGCTGAGATAAGCTACAGGCATTATCTTGCCTTAATTAAGACAAGTAGTATTTGCATGTCCACTTTCAGCTATTTATACTGAAGATTCATCAAACTGCAAAAATAGCAACTTCCTGTCACCTCTTGTCATCAAGTTTCATATGCTGATAACAACCTACGACAACTTCCTTTTATAAGCCATCTTTCACTCCCCCTCCCCAAAGGCAGGATTTTATTTTTTTTAGAAACTTAAAATTGCATGTCAGGCCCTTTCCAAAGAAGAAAAACTTTTAATTTTGAAAAGTGTGGTCCAAAATAATATATCCAACTATTTAACTCCTTGCTGGCATCATTACCTACCCTTGACTCCTATTGAGGTAGCCAAAAAATAGAGGAAAGTTACCAAAGAGTCTCCAATCTGAGGTTGTAACCTAGGCAACCAGCACCATCTCCTTTCTCATCTCACTGAAGCTACTGCCAGCCTACAGAGTTCCAAACAATCCACTTCTGACTTATCCATTAAAGGTTCTTTCCAAAATTTATGACAAAATGTTTTTTGGCAACCATCTCCATATTCTTGTTTTCCCAATGGTCTCCGCTTCAGCCAATGTGGGAACTTGATTACAAAGATAATAAATCCATTCCTCTGTGCTCCTGACATGCGGAAAAAACCAGCCAACAACAAAAAACAAAACAAAAAAACCCAACATCTGAAATGGATGATACCAAGATGAACATGTACAGGAAGTCAGTTAACAGACTGTTAATGCTTTAGTGACATTCTTTCTAAAATTAGATTAACAAGCTCCCAAAAGAACCCATTAAAGTAGAATTCAAAACTACAGATAACATAAGGCTTTTTTTTTTTTTTTGCATATGTCCCAAGATGCTGAACCTGTCTGCTTGCTTCAGCCCTGGGGACTGCTATATATTCACCTTCAGCATTAATTTCTGTTCCACGTGCTACTTTTAGAACAAAGTGAATTTTGCTTCTAATGCTCTGGGAGTTCTCTCATGACTGCCTGCTGTATCTTTATTACAGTATATTGCTGAGTGCATGATAAAGTATGCTACCAGCAAATCAATAAGACATACTGCAGCTTTCAGGCTCTTGTCCACTCTGCTATAGGAAAAGAAAATAAATTCCCAGATTTTCAGCATACAACAGGATAATCCAAAAGAATGAAAGTCAGTCTGGAAACAAAGTAAATAAGTAAAATGGGGACTCCTACTTTATTAGTATTTTTCCAAGCTCTTTTCTAGCCCTTCTTTATAATGTCCAAATAACTTTCACATGCAGTAGCACATACAAAAAGAAGTTTAAATGACTCATCAAGAGTCAAACAAGAGCTACTTAGATAAGCCTCCAGCAGCAACAAAGTACTACAGTCGCTGACATCCATTTTCAACCAGGTATCAGTAAAGTTGACAAATTATATTTTCATAACAGGAGTCCACATGTGAAATGGACTGGCCATTGAGATATTTTAAACAACATGAATGGTTAAACTGGCTGAAATCCTTGCATTGTATCACAAATGATTTTCAGTTTCAACAATGTTTGTATTACTACAGGTTTCCCTCGCCAACCACAGGGGTTAGAGGTTCCTGAAAGTTCCCGTGGTTGGGAAAACCGGCAGGACTGGGAAGCAGGGGCTGTGGGAACGAGTGAGAGGCACGAGCAGGGCCAAGGGAGATGTGGGGGGTGTATTTCCCAACTGAACCCTCCCCTTCTTTGAAGTGTGGATACTTAAAACCGTGGCTGGCAAAACCATGGTTGGCAAGGGAAACCAGTACTGCACTCTGACCAGAGTCACTCTTGTCTTCCGAAGAAAGCAAACAGGAAATAATTTTTTCCCCCTCTAAGGCTTATGTTTCTGGCCACTAACGAGAAGCACAGAAAATATCTTCTTTATGTCATTTGGCACTGTTGTTCCCAATTACGTCTCAGCAAGGACAACTTGATTAGATATACATTGAAAACTTTGTACAGAAAAAAAAAAAACTTAGTAAGCTTCAGGTATAACCATAGGGGGGGTAGGGAAAAACAATTTCAGTCATTTTCAGGCAAAACACGCACTGTCGTCAATAAAAGACTTGCCTGAATAACAAGGGAAGACTCGACTCCTACTTCTCTACCAGGAAACATGACTGAAATTCTGCCTACCAAACTAAGCAGTTTGCGCAGCAGCTACACATTGAGACTATGAAACACACAGCACACCAGTAGGAACTGCAAGTAGTGCTCTATATTTCTGTTACTATATTCCTAATACCATTCTTGTCATTCTGTCAGACATTAGAGAAAAAAGAAACTATTTTCAATGATGACACAGAGATCGTCTTGTAAAGCCACCCCACGAATAACTAACAAGTTCTGTGTTTCACTAGCAATGGGCTAGAGGAAGCAAGTTTCTGGACAACCACAGCTATCATATCACTGTTAGAATAAGATTTAAAAAGTAGGTTTATTTTAAGCTGCATTATTTGTAGGACAGATAGCACAGGAAGTTGCACCCACACTAATATATATGAAAGGAAGGAACTGTTTTATTGGTAGATATAAAAGTAGTAGAGGAAACAATTTTTTTAGTCAATCTATAAATACTGCAGATATTATACAATCCTTCAGAACAGGAGATCCAACACCAATACAGATGACTGCATTACCTATTTATCTGTTTTCAAAAACTGGAAGTTCATGATACTATGGTAAGAAAGCAACAAGGTTTCTCCCTATCATAACTCTTTTACTCTGCCCAACACTAATATCTGAGTGTTAACACTTGGATAATGTTAACACGGAGAATATTACAATTTGCCATTGGGATTTAAGGCTGATTCCTAGCTCAACCAGTCCCATGAAAAGTACACAAAGCCAGTTCACAAATGTCTAAATATTTATTATTTTTTTGCAAAAAAAGAATTAAATGTGTTTGAGAGAGAAAAGGTAAAAAAGAAAGGAAGGCAGGCAAAGGACGATTTCTCTCTGTCTTATGCAGGTTGTATCTTATTTTCTAGTTTCAATGACAACAGTTAAGTTTATATTAGTATTAAACTCCTAATGCTGTAACTCAGCAGATCTCAGCTGGGGATCTGCAACCCCCTGGGGGAGCCATAAGCAGGTTTAAGGGGGTCTGCATTACCCCTCACCTCACTACCCCTCCAGGGTAGAGCCACAGCCTGAGGAGAGCACTGGCAGCAGCTGGGCCAGGGCAGCAAGGCAGAGCCATGGCCTGGCATGCAAGCGGCTGGAGGCAAGACAAGGTGAGAGCAGTGTGCCCCCAGAACCCCCCGGTCTGTTACTCCTTGCATTGCTAGCAGTGCAGCTGGTGCAGGGGTCCCAGTAGCAGCGGCAAGTCTTGTCGCCCCACTCTACCCTCCTGTGCTGGGTCCTACCTGGTGGGCTGCAGAGATGGCTCCTACCTGTGCTGTTTCAGCCAGGCTGCAGTTGTGTGCCCGCTGTGGGACCCTACAAATCTGGGGAGACAACATGTCACCTACACCCCATTCCCCCCCACACCTCACCTATACCCCGCCCTGCATACTGGATATGCAGAACAGTTGCTGTGGCACTGGTGGGCCATGACATTTTTTGCTAGGGGGGCCTCAGGAAGAAAAAAGTTAAGAACCCCTGCTGTAACTGTCATGCCAAGAGCCATGAAAAGTATATTAATAAACCTAAACACAATAAATCAGAATATTTTTGTTCGATGGCATTTCAATATTTTCTAAAGTGGTTTATACACTGGAATGAGCTGTAGCATTCATGGTTGGACTTCGCTTACCTTTGCTCTTGTGGATGTTCCTCCACATCCTCCTCAGAGTCAACCTAATGAACAGAAAAAATACCAAGAGAGGTGTTCAGAATTATAATACTGTGCACATCTTGGCCAGGTACAGATACTACACTTTTACTGGTATAAGTGATCGAAAACCAGTCTATACCCAAACAGAACACAGGTTCAACACACAAAACCTGTAGCAGAACAGAAGTTTAGCGCACAGACCAAGTTAAAAATGGTGGAACCCAGCCTAAGATTTGCACATACACCCCCACCAAGGAGTTAATGTGTGTTCTGTTCCCTACCAATCTAAATTACACTGCTTGCAGAAAAACCGCATAACTCTGACTCTACCTCGGAGCTTTTGAACATGTATACCTAGCCCTTGTGCCTACTCTTACTGAAGTGAATATATTAAGAACTTATTTTAAAAAGTCACAAATTATAAAGTTACTTAAGTGGTTCCACTAGGCATTAAAAAACTCCACACTTAAGTAAATAAACAAACTCGATTCAAGATTTCAGATTTTATTGCCATTCCACTTTTTTTTTTCCAAATTTAGTTCTAATTTACTTATTTTAGTTTAAACACATGCACTTGTCAGGAGCTTTAGTGCATGCAAAATTCAATCTATTAAAAGCATTACAAAAATTAAAGATAGGCCAACACTAACATTAGAAATTCCCAAAACACAAAGACTGAAATCATTGCTACCCAAATTATTTGCCATCCCTCGATGCATTCATGGGCCAACGTATAGGAAAGCAGACTGTGTATTGCCTTGAAATTCACCCAACTTCTATTTGCAGACTAAAGGCAAGGAAGCAGCTTCCTAATCACAGGGCCTTCCACCAAGCACTGAAGTACACAAATATTTTCAGGGACTGTAAGTTCAAACACCACAGCTGCCCTCAACTGCTGGAATAAGATGCAAGAAGAGAAGCAGAGTGAAGAGATGCAAAGGAAACAAGCTGGGACAGTTTGCAGTTCAAACCCAGACACTTTGAACCATGACTAGAAGTGAATAAAGTCCCCAAAGAAAACCCTTTTTAGACAATAGCTGCCTACTTGTTTTACCAGCTGAAGTGTTCAAGGGGCTTTAACATGCAATTCAAAATAGAATGCATTACAGCAACTCAGTTTGCACTGATGAAAGAAAAGAACAACTTTCATGAGACTGTTTTCAGAAAAGGTCACAATCATCCCGACGAGTGATTAGTTTTCCTTAGCTATTACAGAGGTAGATGCAGGTTCCAAAAAACACATACACTGTAAACCTGAATGGCAAAAAGTACGAAAACTCACCAAAATCAACAGAAAAGGTCATTTCTATCATGTCCTCCCTTTGTTGTCCCATGCTACCTATATAAAAAAAATACAACTCATCCCAAAAAATTACCTATGAATCACATTTCAATTTTGGCTAGACAACAGAAAAGGCAATCACCTACAGTATCCAGGCTCACTGAAATGGGAGCTTACTAGGTGTGTATGACCTACATACATACTTGAAGGCACACCTGTCTGCCCAACCACACAAGACCACTGAGCAAGGAAAGCTGAGAGGACAAGAAAGAACCTCAGGAGATGGGAACAACTGTTTAGAACAGTTACTAGATCTTCAAAAAAGAGGGAAAGACAACCACTGTAGTACAATGCCACCTATCTTTACTAGCATCAGCAGATAAGTAAATCATGGGTAATATTACTTAAAGCATCTTCTAGTCATTTTTAAAAAGCAGAAGATGCACATCCAATCTTCGTCCAGGATCAGAAGCAGATCATTAAGCAATGAACCCAGGGCAGTCTTCATTCCATACCTAAGCCTAGAACAAGACTGACAACAATTAAAGTAGTCTGAGGATTCTACAATCTTTCCCTCAACTTCGCTTGGAAAGGAAAACAGAAAACTCTGTGATAGTTGTCAGGATTCTTTATTTAGGCTGATACCCCCTCAGCATCAGCCTAACTAGAGTTACCAGCATTTGGAGTGCCCATTAACAGGATCCCAAATAGCATCCTGTACATAAACAGTTGTGTGTGCTAAGCTAGAAAGCACCTGGGAGAGTCACACAGGCATTATGGGAGCTATCAGGTTTTAGCTAAGAGAGGACAGCCTCTGTATTCCCTGCACGAGCCAGTCTCGACCACCTTGACACATACCCTAGGAACATCTACATGTGCATATCATTGCTCCCAGGCGCTATAATTACACATGTACCCAAGAGAGCAGCATGTTGAGCCAGGTCGGAGTAGCCTCGGCTAGCAGGGGGCCCAGGGGGTCAGCCTGCCAGCCCAAGGCCACTCTGACCTGGCTCAATGTGCTGTGGAGCAGCTGGCTGGGGCATGAGGGTGCTCCAATGTGGGTCTATCCAACAGGCAGCACCTGCACTGAAAAGCACCCTCATGCCGCAGTCAGCCACCTCAGTGTCTATATGTGGTGCTCCAAAGTAAAAAACTCCACAGCAGGATAGTACTTGTAGTTACAAGTATTACCCTACTGCAGAGTTTACTAACTTACTCCAGCCTAATAGCCCTGCACATGGAGATGCCAAGACTTTATTGTAGAGTTAATCAGTCTACTCCATAGTACACATCTTGTGTACACACACCCCCTGAAGCTCAGATAAGGACTTTAAGATGCAGTAGAGCAGCCTATATAGAGAAACACAAGTTGTATCTTCCTTAAGTCAGTCTCAGACTCTGATGAAAACTAAATACACTCAGATGAATCCTGATTTAAAGTGGAAAACCTTATATACTCCTTGTATTTAACTAACAGGATATGTTTGAGCTAAAGATATATTGCAGCATTATCTAGTCACATTTCAGTTACACATTTAATTTCAGGAATGGTGGTTAACTTTATTAACTCCTGACATTTCATTAAACAATGTGAACTGAACTGAAATCAGGTCCTTACCATCTGGCATTGTGTAGACCGAAGAAAAGATCTGAGAATAATCAGGGCATTAATAACAAATGGCCAATACTCCTCTGTAACCAAGGCAGGTTTTCACCCTGCTTAATTTCCCTTGGTTCATGGCTTATTTTAATTGATTATAAAAATAAGTATCTAGGAACAAGGAAAATATGCCCAAAAATCAGTTCCTCATAGAAACTGGTATAAAAATCAGATCTAAGATACAGATAATATAAAACAGAGTTAATGAGTCTCAACACTGAAAACAAGAGTCCCAATCATTATTCAATAACAACGGAAAAAAGGACATTGAAGAGTTTACAGATTTGGACAGTAGAGTAATAGCAAATTGAGACAGTGATAAAGACATCAGAATCAGTAAATCAAACCAAGTCTCTGAATCATTTTGAAACGTTTCATCTTCCAGATAAAAACAAAAAACAAAAAGTTAAATTACAAAAACAAATGTAAAAAATGTGTTACTCTACAGGCCCAAATGCTGTTGTCTAAAAGTGTGCATAAATTAGAAGCATGTCAGAACTGTTTGAGGAGGATAATAAGACTATTCCAGCCTGAAAAAGTAACAGAAGAGCTACAGAAGAAATCCAGTATATGATCTATGGATAAAATAGAAAAAGAGAAAAGATTAATAATATTGGGGCTATGCACATGGAACGAAGAATGATGCCTTACCAACTACAGTTCCAAAGTAGAATCCACCAAGGAAAAGGGAAAAAAAAGAAAAACTCAGGACACATGAAAAGGGACAACAGGACGAGAAATAAATAAGTAGAGTTACAGCTGGAATTCCAGCTGCTGCTGACCACATTGGATGAATAGTACTGCATTTCCATTTTTCTCCAATTTTACTCCAAAAGCCTGAAAATGCCAAGTGTAATGAGAAATCACTAGTTATAGAAATTTCCTAACACCTGTTACAAGTATGAATTTGACTTGATTTACATCTCTGACAGATAATCTCAACAGTCTCTAATACCTAACAGGTACAAATGTGACAAAATATTTTTAAAAATCTACTCGCCTCAAACTAATTTAAGATGGTTGGCAATGTCTCAGATTCCAAAGAAAAAGCACAGAGCAAGCTAGCTTTGATAATTTATTCATGGCCTTCTTCAATATCCATACCCAGGATTTACTTGTAACTGAAAGTATTTTAGAAAAAAAAACAAACACATTCCCCCTATGAATCTGAGGTAGCAAAGAGGAATTATTTCCCTACTTAAGATTTCCCTGCAAATTGTTAATTAGCATGCCACTGATTTTTTGAATTCTGGAAGTGATTACCAGAATATACAGCTTTAAGAAGCACTACATTAATAATTTGCTAACATTTTTTTTCAGAAGGTACCTGACAAGGAAAACAAGTCATGTTTGTGTCTCCCTTCCAGGTTTTTGTGCTCATACCATATTTACTTGAATACAAGATGAGGTTTCCCCTCCCCTTCCTCCCCCTCACTCACCCCCCCGGACATGAGGGAAAAAGCCCTTCATCTTATAATAGCATACAAGGAAATCTGATTAAATACACCGGGCACATCTACATGTGACACTTAACGAGCAGTAGACTGATTCCACTGTGCATTGGCACGGCAGGAAAAAAAACGTGCTAATGCGCTAATGTGCAGAAGAATTAGTCTACTGTGCATTAGCATCACAAAAAAAAATGCTCCTGCGCTACTACGCAGTTAACACCAATTACAGCGCATTAATGAACACATAGATGCACTCACTGCCTATCATTAAACTGCTGCCAAAAGCAACATGTGCTCAGTACTGCAATCAAAGCCAACTATGAAACTAATTAAATGGAGTCAACACTGAGCATGACTATAAAACATATGGCCCACAGTGGGCAAACTCTGCACACCCTCTCTCAGCCTGGCACATATGATTAGTGTGGCCCCATCCTGCACAAAGTGAAGTCAAACCAGGTTGCCCTGCACCTCACCTGCACATAAACTTTTGGAGGATCCCAGAATTCGTGACAAGAACACCCAGTTCCAGTCATGAGTGGGGGCTAATTAGCCAAATCAGCTAGTACAAATATGACAACATATAGAAAGCCCACTCACTTTTAAAATAATTGAAGATGGTTGGTAATG